GAATTTAACGCGCGCAGCGGAAATTTTCTTTGTCTTTTCTAATTAGTTCCACCTGAGATATCACAAGACAACGAAAAATTCCGCTCCGCGAGCAAAATTCCGCCTAGTGGAAATGAGGCTTTAGACGCCATTTTAGCGAACGTCGAGTTGACAGTAGTCACTTCAACGGTCAATATCTCGAAAACTGCCGGGGGATGACCGGGATCATTGCTGCAGATTTAAAGCTTATACGTCTTGACGACTACCAAGAATGAAGAAAATCGAACCATGGGAATTCGAGATATTTCATTTTAAACATTGTAAACATATTTAGACTTGAGTCAACACGTCGCGGGGAGTCGACTAACTTCAAATATCAAAATAACATTGAAAATAAAGTTTACCTCGGAGATTTTTGCAGTATCACCAGATCTTTAGTCTGTAGTAATGCTACAACACTTGAGATTTTGCAAGAAAATTTTAATATTAATATTTTTTCCGATTTATTTTCCGTCGAATGCAAATTCTTCTGTCCAAATTCTGCAGATAACACGATGGAAAATAAAGCGATCTCGTTGGTCGAGAGCTCACGTGACAACTCACTAATTAGCTGTCCAACCCCCTCTGGAACCATATTAATATACGCTGTGTATTTTTTGTATTTAACACAATTGTTTGATATGAGAAACTAAGCAGGAGTGAGAAATCGGCGCTGCATAAGTACAGACTTAGAACACGTAGTCAGTTTTATAATTGTTTATCAAAGTTCAGAGGTCGGCTGTCGCAAAACGATAAACATTTAAAACATTTAATGGGCCAATTTCACTCGAAACCTTAGTGGCTTACTTCTTCAGTTCTTCGCTGGTTGTTACTTTAAAATAATTCTGCAGCTGATATTTTACCAAATTTCGCCTTCATTCGAGCGCCAAAGCGCATTCAAATGCCTGTTAAGTGTCCAGATGACTCCAAATAGGAAACATGGAGGACGCTTCAAAAACCAATACGTACTATTTCGTAAACTTGTTGCTGAAAAATGTACAGCAAGCATGCTACTACAAAACAGACACGTAGTTCCAAGATTAATTTACCTTGATTTGCTTCATTTTCATCCACAATATTAGTCATTATATTTCAATGCGTGAATAAATGTAAATCATAAATTTTAACTTAATCCCTCTTTACCGCCATAATGTCAAAGTTGCTATGATTTCTAAAGTAATAATGTCACTAAATTGAAACTGATTAAATTAAGTAAGTTGGTTACTTTTGAAATTTTTGTACTTAAATTTCAAGAATGACTATATATAGCCATTCCAATTCACGCGCCGGCATATTGTAGTTGTGCTCACAATTTTTCAGATCGAATGTGGGTCCTGCGAACGAGTCCGCGCTTAAGTGAAAAATCCGTTTACACACAAAAATCGAGTTGGTAAAGAAATTACAAATATTATAAGCAGCAGCGTGTGTAATTTTTAATAGGCACAAGTTTAGGCGTTCGAGCCAGATCTCGGTTTTTCTCTTGTATTAGAATGTAGTCAGATAACTTTATTCTCAGTAGTGTGAAAATTCTGGCCGAAAGCAAAGTGATGTTTTATCTGCCTGTATTTTCCAATCAAACGAACAAAATGCAGAAAACTTGAGTTCGTTCATTTTAAGGTAGCGTTAATAGGGAGTTTAAGTTTCACGTTTGCGGGAACGGCAAACGGCATAGTCGAATATTGTTGGCAGAACGTTTGCTTAACTTCTTCGCTTCATCTTCTCGTTCTTATCTCAAAAGAATCATCATACATACATTACACCTACAGTCCTAAAATACCAGTAAAGCTTCCAAGTAGCATGGATCGAAAAAATACAGTATACATGTGCTTTTATATACTAGACAATATAAAAGGGATCATGTGACAAAAAGTAAACCAATCAGATTTGGTCAAAACAAAATGTAAACAAAAATTATAAATCACATTACAGAATACATTAGGACCGGGGTAATTAAGAAAATATAAGGAATATAATGTGTGAATTGAAGTTAGGTAAGGACAGATATAGCTAAACATAAGAAAAACGTTCATTGCCAACCTTGGAAATGAGGCGCATTTCATATTTTTTTGCGGCTATCATTGCTACCAGAAATGGGACAGAAGGCTCGAATTCTCATGTCTGAAACACTAATGTGATTGCCACTGTTAAAATGTCTGGCAACAGGTTGGTTGGCATCGTTACCATTGCTCACCAAACCTTTTCCTCAAACGTCGTTGCATTTCCCCGACATAGCTAAAACATGCCCCATTTACTGCCCAAGATGCAGTAGATAAGGTGGGAACCAAAAATGGTGCTTGCTATGGTACTTAGATTTAGGTACTGAAATGATAGTATATAGAGCAATTAAGCACAGGCTTTACATTGAGGCACCCGACTAGGGAACGTGGTATTATCTGACGACGAATCCTATCTTTGCATGAGCACAGTTTTTTTGTAGTTTGCTATAGCTATATACAGATACTTCAAAAAAGTAGTCAGCTACAACTTCTGCTACTTGACAAAAAATGTAGTTCGCTACTGACTATAGACGCTACCAGACTCTAGAACATAGTATCCTGCTATCCACTTTTGCTATTTACATTCATGTATGTCATATAAGTTTTGAGCTCCAACTTGTAACTAGAATGGCAAGAAAGGTGTTAATAGCCCTAAAGCCGAAAACGTATAAACGTACCACAGTATTAAAACTTAGCCTAAACTGAACAGCATTCTCTACGCGTCAGAGGACTGGGGACGAGTGTTAAAAAGTTCCCAAATTATGAAATGAACAAATCACTAAAAAGACCACCCCTCAAAGTATACAAAGTTTCAACACGTTTACATGAATACCCTTCGAATAATAAGCTTTCGAAAATCGCGATATTTACTATGAAAAGTACTGTAATTTTTGTTTTGGGGACGCACGTCCCAAAAACAATCTTTTAATCAGTAATTTCACAATTTTCGAAAGCTTATTATTCGAAGGGTATTCATGTAAAGGTTTTCAAACTTTGTATACTTACTAATTTTGAGGTGGTCTTTTTAGTGATTTGGTTCATTTCTTAATTTGAGCACTTTTTAACACTCGTCCCCAGTCCAACTCATCAATTTTGGAACGGCTAATTGTATTCGGAGTATTTAAATGTTTTCGCAAACTTGAGCAAAAGAAAGGTATTATATCAACCACGGTCACTAACATGAACGTGGCAAATGTTGATCGTTGATTTTGAGACAGTTGCGTTTAAAACTTTATATGCGTTTTATTTTCGAATATATCAACAGCTATACAATATTATTTAATATTTTTCATAGGATTTTAGAGCGCTGTGCAGTATGTATAGTAGGAAATAAGTAAACATTTCAGCAGTCAATTAAACTGTCATAGAAACCTGTGGAACACATCCAAACGTTCACTGCAGTGCTATCAATCGAAAAAGTTATAGCGTCATTAGCGACTATTTGGAAAGTTATAACAGGACGATATGAAAGAACAGATCCTAGTAATCCTTATAACATAATAACACTCTGATCTTTTTGTTTGCACACACTGATGTTGTTCTTTGCATTCTGGCACTCGTCGATGTATCAACCCTTTATTATTTCTCTACTGTTTATTTTAACGCGCGCGCGTTAGCCCGCACCAAGCCCGAAAATTGCAGGCTTCAAAACTGAGCTATATATATTTCATATGTAATGCTAATACATAACTTCAACAATTAGACCCGGGATGACTCACAGGGCTATAATCGTAAACCTGCATAATTAAACAGCAACTAAAAATGATAGGTTTTACTAAATCTTTTCCTGTGCAATTATTACTAGCATTGGAGACAAGGATAATAGTTTGTTTGAAAGAGAAAAGAACAGGCTTTGAAGTAAGCCTAAAAGCGTTTAACTAGAAATAGTATTTCGAAAGTTATTAAGCACAAAAGATGAATTGCGTTTATTTTGATACACCCTGTATATAGTGTTATACAGCATGATCAGGAGACTGAGCATTGGCAAATAAGTGCCAATGTATATATAAGAAAGCCTTATCGAACTCTGAGGTTCTTATGTTGGTGGACTATGAAAGGGCAAAACATTTGCACGCGTCCAGCCGATTGATGAGAAATTTAAAAAGTAGCGAATGGCGGTTGCAGCGCTAGCAGTGTTTTATCAGATATAAAGATATGAGGCGAAGCCGAGTGTCTTTATAGGTCTGATAAAACACGCACGTACTGCGAATGTTCAGTTAAATTGCTTCAAAAACGATCGATCTAGTAAGTTCATTGGTGAAGTAATTTTAAAAAGTACGTTGTGTAAGTCGAGAAAATCAAAGTTAAAGTTTATGTAAATCAAGGGAAATCTCTATCACACACAGGGTGACCCAAAAAACGAAAACTATTGAAATAAATGTATTGTTAAAATTTGAATGCCTCAGCACTCTGCTGAACCCACACGGGCATCAAAGCTTGACGTAAGTAAATTTTATGCATAAAGAAACCGTTTAAGAAGCTGTTTTAAATTCCCAAGAGCAGAAAATCGTGTGCTTTACTAAGATATTTTAATTTCTTAATCAGTCAATATTTAATACATGCACCCTTGTCAATATTTTACGCAACTTTGCATTCAGCTTAGTGCTATAGGGCATTGAAATTTTAAAAATACGTAATTATTTCAATGGTTTTCCTTTTTTTGGGGACACCCTGTACGAAGATACGACACGCTTATGATTTTTCTTTGTGTTTTCCCCACGAATATATTAATGATTTTTTGAAATATACTTATTATAACTGATTTTAACACTAAATTGCACATTTGAACCTGCATGCATATATGGAATATTAATATAGTATTTATAAGACTCATAATCTTGTCTCATAATGTGATGTTTATAATGTGATGTTTATATTTTAAAAATTCTGTAAATTCAAAACGACCCCAAAAGAGTCGTTCTAGGGTCAAATATGGGGTTATACGTTGTCTTGACTCTATGGAATTTACAGTTTATAGTGATATACTTAATACAAATTTGCTGTTGTAACAATCCTCTCGCCATCGAAGCTTAATCTTGAATGAAGTACAGCTAGGTTATCAAGAAATAATACATCACTCTCCTCTAATGAGACTCCAACTGCAGTACTCCACCCCGTACGCCTTACTTTATCCAAGTCATCTGGATCAATGATATCCCCATCCGCATGAATGGTGTGGGCTGGATATTTTTCATCTGCCAAGTCACTTTCCTCGTACATTGGCATCGCTTTAAAGTAGGAAGCATGGCAACTATGTACTTGATTGAACCAAAATTTTTTTCCCGTTAGCGGATGGGTAATAGTTGGCGAGGCATCGCTCCAATACACTAGGGTTTTGCCTTCCCATTTGAACGTATAGCCATTCGCCACCAGGAATTTCTCTGCCTCGTTCTTATCTTCGGTTAATAAGACTCTCTGCCAAGAGCAGTCTGTGCCTTCGCTTTTGTCCACGAAACATCGCAGATTTCTAAGAATAAATCAGGAACAAATATATAACTAGAAATATATGCATGCATGTTGAATGAATGTTGAATGAATGTTGAATGAATGTTGAATGTCATCCTCGTTCCCAGGGCTTCTCGGCTGTCTGACGTCGCCACAAGCCGAGGCAGAAGTGATTTGATTGGTCGTTGGAAATTGGATGTTACATATATTCTGGCAATATGGCTGCCTTTAAGGAGTGGGCGTTTGAATTACGAAGAAATACAAACGTACAATGCTTGTTTTCTATGGATTAATGGAGATAATTCGCAAATGGAAGGAAAGAAAATAACAAAATGGGCAATGATGAAGTAGAAGTAAGCAACAATATCGAACAAACTTCAAATGTGAAGCCATTAAAAAGTTTCTTCATTTGAACATTTTTTGTTAAGTTGTTTATTTATTAAACATTGCGCTCAAGTTTTTTTGTAAAATTTCAAGCACACTGTAAATATAAAATATTTAAATAGGCTGTCAAGTCCGTTCTGCTCATGCGCGTGTTTTGTTTACATTTTTTGTGATAATTTAATTAAAATTCCGATCTGTGGGTCTCCAAGTTAGGCCTGTTTTATACGTCGAATTTCGGTCGCGTCGAATGCAATTCAAACAATAGATAATGAAGCTTAATGAGGTTTATCATCTCATTATCTATTGTCTTAATTGCATTCGACGCGACCAAAATTCGACGTATAAAACAGGCCTTAGCTCATTACGCATTCCGAATATATCACGAAGGAGAAATTGAACTACTGAAGCAAACATTTAGCCCCAAAACAACAAATTTTAGATCGAAAACGCTAAGAAGCACTTCTTACAGAGGTATGGACAAAATTTGATTGAAATTTGTACACATTTAGCTCCAAAATGACAAATTAAGATTGAAAATTATAAAGATGTGTTTCTTAACATTTTCAATCTTGAATTTGTCATTTTGGAGCTGAATGTGTACAAATTTCAATCAAACTTTGTCCCTACTTCTGTAAGAAGTGCTTCTTAGCGTTTTAAAATTTGTTGTTTTGGGGCTAAATTTTTGCTTCAGTAGTTCAATTTCTCCTTCGTGATATATTCTGAATGCGTAATGAGCTAACTTGGAGACCCACAGATCGGAATTTTAATTAAATTATCACAAAAAATGTAAACAAAACACGCGCATGGGCAGAACGGACTTGACAGCCTCTTTAATATATATTTACGATAGTAAAGTTTTAATGGTGTAATATATTGTGTTTTACTATGTTTTTTTGCTGTTGGTCACTTGGTGTCTTGGCCTATAAATGCCGAAACGGAATTATATCATATTGTATAAAGGTGTACTGTACTATAAAGCTATATACCATATGCACAAGATGTATTTTACTGTTTGTGAACTTTCTCAATCAATTGTATTATCAGTGTGTAATTTTAATAGCTTTCAAATACAGTGAATAAGCATATTTAATTGCACCAGTCATTTGAACCCTCACTTTGGGCATATCGGGGGAAAGCTGGAACAATCGCCTCCTATTCACTGGTTTATCATTGCCTGGAAACAGGGTAGACACTTGCTTTCAGTGTCCAAGTCGGTGAATGAGCGAGGTCATGGTGGGGGTTTAACGTATTGTTTTACATGCTGTATATAAATGCTGAAATAAAGAAGTCGGCTATATAAGAAAGGCTTTTACAGAATAAATAGTAAAGGAATGGTTTGGAAAACTTCAAGTAAAAATTCCAATTGAATACCTGGAGATTCCAGGACCAACGAAATTTACCCAGGGGCTTTCACTGAATTTCACACACCAAATAAGTGAACGCCCCCGGCATGCCTGAGGTGGGGGTCTCAAATTCTTGTGTCATAGTATCGTGTGAAGATCATGAGTTTACACTGTTTCCTGTCAACAACACATTTTAGAATACTTATTCTGTTGACTTATTGCAGATCTTGTAAGAATTGAAATTATAAATAAACTATTATAATTATTGACAAAACGGAAACTTTATAAGTTTGTATATGTATATGCAGGCGTCTAGCCAGGAGACACCCTACCATGCACGTCTGTATAAAAATGGATTTTAAACAAACCCTTACAACAATGACATAAAAGTTGCTTTGGACAACCTATTATGAAATTCTGGTTATAAGCCTTTTGCTAGCTGTGTTGAACTGGAAAACTATTTTCATATTTTAATTTTAATGTGGATATGTATAGTAATATGTTGATAAATCAGACTTTTAACTACCATGCACTCGGCCTTACTATCACTCGGGTACACATTCTGTTGTGGTGGAGATTTAGATTGGACACCTGGATGGATACTGGGAAATTCTTAGTGACACTTCTGCATAATGGGGCTATATAAACTACCGATGTGAAATTGCCGAAATTTGAGAGTGATAATGATTATGACATTATGTAGGGAGTTAAATTGCTTCCATTACCCCCATTGACTATCCCATTCTGTCCCAAATCATTTGACCCCCATCTGAAACAGAAGGCGTACTTGCAAAATAATGTGTCGTCGCATTGTGTCTCACTGTCGGCATCGTAATCAACAAAATTACAAGAAATGAGACATTTTCACATGTAGGGGCAATAGTGGGTGAATAAATCGGGCTTAAAAGGGGTTGTTCTGGCGATTAAAGTCAACCATATTGCATGCAACCATGAATTACTATATTCATTAGTTAAACGTTATTGGCATAATATATAAATCGTATGATTTGCTGTTATTTGTATATCTAAGTATGCTTTTGCAACGTTTTTACTCGTTGCTTTTGCCCAACCCTGGCGTTCAAATATATAGATATCTTGTATACATTAGATAGTGCATCTAATTATTCTGCAATTCAAAAATTGAAGCCGTGATTGCAGACTAAGGATATTCCCATGAAATGAGAAGATTCGTATGTTTTCTATCTCTTAAACAGGGAACTTAAACCTTGAGTTAAACCTATTTCAAATACATTTTCACACTATTCAAATTAATGATGAAAGTTATTGCTGTTTTTTAAGCGTTTAGTAGCAAGTGGGAAACTTCAACATGACCGCCATCTATTCAAATGGGGGTAAACGCTGGAATATTCTTGGCTTCAATTTTGCTAAAAGAAATGCGCTATCTAGTGTATATAAGATATCTATATGTTCAAATAGCATATAATAAGTATATGTTGATATATGTAGTGTGCACTGGATACAAAAATACAGAACAGACACGTGTTTGTGGAAGTGACTAATTGTTCTTTAATATTATAAATCTAATTTATTTTAAATACATCTCTACTTCCTCTGTACAGATTGAAATGTAAAATAAAATGTCCCCAATAAATATTTGATCGAATTAATATGTAAACAAACTGTCTGCATATAACACACTATTTGATACACTAGCTTTGTTAGTCGTTTACTTGGTGCATACGGAGTGTAACAAACAGCATAATTCATTGATGTATTTACAAATTTACTATAAAATTTGATCACAATGAATGAGAATTTGGTACTCAAAATTTAGTCACAATAAATGAATGAGAAATGACACAAATGAAAATTGTGATCAAAGTTTAGCATACATAGTATAATTAAGTAAATACAATTCATTGTTACGTCCGTCATTACTCCCACATGATGGCCTGTTTCGCGCAGCAAATCTTCGAGTTAAGCCCCTCGAGTTAAAGAACATTGTAAGGAAAGCAAGGAAAGCCCCATCAAGAACATTGTAAGGAAAGCAAATAAACGAATGTTTAGTCTGAGAGAATGCCGTAGGGCGAATCTTCCTCCTGAGGTCGGTATTACATGTTATGAATCCAAGATTAGACCTGTTTTAGAATATGCAGCTCCGATATGGGGTGGTTTACCACAATATCTCATTGATGAAATAGAGAGCATTCAAAACAGATGCATCAAAATCATTGGCACATCTCGGTGCAACTTTGAAACGCTAGAACAAAGAAGGGCACACCTAACTGTTAAGGAATACCAAAGAATTCTAAGTGATCCGACCAACCCATGTAATAAACTTATCCCCCAACCTTTTACCCATGAACACGATCTAAGAACAACAAATAATCTACCATATGTTGTATCGTATACTAAAAGACACCGGCAATCCTTTATACCTAGAGCTATATCCCTTTTAAAACAGTCCTAAATTAATTTTATAGAATATATAACTAGTATAAACATTTTTAGCAACATTGATGTAAATAATAGTAAAATTTCTTCTTATCAATTTTAACCTTAGCACTTCTTGTAAATCCATTGTACTTTTTTAACCAAAGATGGATATTAAATGTTATTATTTTTTTTCAAGTTAAGTCCCTTTCGAGTTAGGCCACACCCATTTCCGTTGAGGGCTTAAGTGGAATGACCCCCAAATTATTTTTTTTTTAAAAAAAGCTTTTAACAAAATTTAAATTGCATGGATGTTATAAGCACAAAAGAGTATAAATATTTTTGTGGTAATGACATTGTCTGTTGCCATGGTTACCAGGATAAAGTGACAAAACCCGTACTTTGAGCCAAAACGCCAACAACCATAACTTGATTAGTTTTTAAGCAATGTCTATGAAACTTTGGGGATAAAATGATCTTTAATATGTCTATGCAATGAACTAAAAGCTTTTTGATCAGAGAAGTGGTTATTAATTTATTTAGTCAATAGTATACATACTCGGAATCAGAATACATATTTCAAAATAATTCAAAATCTAGTAAGGCATATCCCACCATTCTAGTTCATTGCATAGCTTTACATATGTGGAATATTTACTGAAAATTTGAGTAAAATCTACCAGATACTTTTTGAGTTATCAATGTTACGAGTTTACAAAATACCCGAAAATTGATATTAGAGAAAATACAGTTTAAAGTTTGTCTACCATGTTTCACAGCTACATATACCTCTGCTTAGCTTCAGAAACCACTAGAACTCTCCTGCTCCATATTTTAGTCCCTCTGTTTCTTGGTTCTTGTCCTCCTTTTTCTTTTTTAGTCCTCTGATCAACTTTCTTCTCTTTTTAGCTCTGGGCGTGCTTTTATATTGTGCGAGCGATACACGAGACTTGTCTTCAGCATGACAGGCAAATTCAGTGTACTTGCCAGCAGGAATATTCATTGACTTGAAAAGTTCAACAATTGCATTGCAACCAATATTGAAGTGTAAGACAGCATCATACACCCCAAACTCTAAGCAGTCTCTGTGAACAAAGACTTCCTTGGGAATTCTTTGCCAAATTAGAGCGTTCAGAGCCTCGTTCTGATTTTGTGTTTTTCCGTGCAAGCATTTTTCCAAAAGACTGTTATCAGTAAGTCTCTGGTACACAGGCTTAACCAGCTTAATGATGTTCTTTGGAAGACCAGGACCATGTTTGTATAATTTTGTCCCATTTGCTTTGTCTTGTTGGTAACGACACCAGCTATCACTACCGGGTGGGCAATGGAAGGTATGGTAAGGGTTCGCATCACTTGAAGCACAATGGAAGAGACTAGCATGGATGGCTTTTGCCATCTTACCCAGATCTCCAACATTGGACCTAAGAGCAATGCCATAATAATTCTGTAGCTTATCTATCATGGCATTTGTCAGCTTGCCCTTACCACCCAATCCAGGATTATCTTTTTTCAATTTTCGGAGTGCCGTTCCTACTCTTTTCTGAACATGGCCGATACACTCTCGTTTCTCACTTCAATGCCAGGATAGATATTCTTTACTTCAGAGAAGCTTTTACTATCCCCATCATCATAAAAATCTGTGTATCGCAGATTATTCTCTTCCACTGATCTTTCAAACATTCGTAAAGCTCCTACTGGTTCCATAGCCGGAGCAGATGCTCGGTAATTTTCCTTACACTTAGTGTGCTTGGCTTTCCATTCTCGATATTCTACTATTTTTGTCCAGATTTTCATAGTACTTGCACTCTTTACAGTGGCTGGTCAGAGCTTCAACGTCGAGAACTTTTCCCGTCTCCATGGAGATAATGGTAACACATCCATTCAGTGAAAAATGCCCCCCGTCTCTGCGAAGAGCCATCACACGAAATTCCACAGTCGACAGGAAGAGTGTCATCAGAGTCGACAGTTCTTTTCTTAGCACGTACTTCTTCTGCGGCAGATTTCATACATGCTTTTGCAACTTTCTTGACATGTTGGGTAATAGTCTGTGAAAACTTTCGAAACGACTTCGCTGTCAATGGTGATGGCATGTTCATAATAGAACAGAACTTCGAGGCCCCCGCATGACCTTTCCCTATTCTCCGCATGCCATAAACAAGACGCTTATTTTCTTCGAAGCTTTTTTCTGTACGCTTACAAGTCCAAAACAGATGCTTCCAACTGCCGTTTTGACAACATCAACGAAGCTTTGAGCCACGTAGCCTTTGCGACTTACATCATCTTCTTCGAGGGAAAGACCAACACAGTCACACTGTGGGCATTTAAACAGACAAAACACATCAGTAATAAGTCCCATCTCACAAAGTCTGAAACCAGTAATACCTTTATCACTGTAGGATCTAGCTAGGCCAAGCCTGAATTTAGGGATTAACCCGCGATAGGGCAGAGACGAACACATGTTTTGCTTTTATATTCGAGAGACGAACTCGCGTTGATTTGTGTGATTTATAAAAGTTGTTTGAACGTTGTAGTGTTGTAGTATAGCCAGAGGACTAACAGTCAGGTATTTGTCTTGTGTTGTTTCATTGTTTGAAATCGTATTTGTATAGTTAAATTAATATCTATGTTTTGTAAATTGATTGTTTAGAAACCACACACACACACGGTGACACAGTGAGATTATATATTTTGACTTTGTATCAATAAATATTATATGTCCTTTTGGACATTTTGGATTGTTTATCCTACTTGAATATATCGTGCGTTTCGCTGACGTTTTATTGGGGAAATACTGCAACTTACAGTTCCTGACTACCTTCACGGTATTTATATTTGAAATTTGAATTGATGTCATTTCCGACATTTTTGTATGCAGATATAAATTGTCTTACATGAAGTTCTACGTATTGGACGAAGCTTTATTATTATCTTACATGACGTTTACTGGTTGAACGCGATTTAAACTGCCTTATTTAGTTCGCATTTACGGATATTTAGAGTCTTTTTTTTTCGATATTTACTATCAATGAGTGAGAAGAGGAATTATACGGGACGTCTGGGTATGAATGTCTTTAGGGGTACTAGGGGGCCCCCTCTACCCGAAGAACAATCCGGGTATTATTCAACCGAACGAGTAAGAAGTTCGGGTTATTTACTGCAACAAAGGCAGGAACATTTAGATTACACTGCAGAATGGGTGAACAGAGTCGAATTGCCAGAGAGTGCCCATTCTACTTGCCCAGTCAAGATTACTGAGCCTATTGTGGGAGAGACCCGGCAGATGGTAACTCGATCTGCCCCTGCGCTTAGCATTAGGTCAGGAGTGTCGAACAGGTCCACTATTGTCAAAACTAAACTCGAGCTAGAGTTGAAGCATTTAAAGGAAAAACAGGGACTAGATCAGGAACAGATAGAGTTACACTTAGAAATGCAAAGACACGAAATGGAACAGCAGAAGAAGCTAGCTGAGCTGGAAGGAAGGCGCAGATTGCATGAATTAGAGGTAAGATTAGCAGAAGCACAATTGCAAGAACAGCTAGAACATGAAGAGGATGATCCAGATTCAAGGTCAAATCGAGGTGATGATTACCCAGAAAGATTGGATCAGTTGGAGGAACAGGTTGATCATCCTATAGCTGCTAGTGGTATGAACAACAACATTGAAACCTCTACTAGAGACAACACAGATATCCCAAGAGTCACATCAGTTAATCAAACAAGTTTGGAGACCCACAATTCACCATCAACACAGTTACCAGAGACCATCCGAGATGGTGATATTCCACCACAGGTGAGTCGAATGCAACCATTTCCAAACCATCTTCAGTGTAGTCCACCTTATGGAAGAAGACCCCCATGGGAGGGTGACCGGCAACCGTCATCCCAGGACCGCCTACCATTGGAGCAAAACCCAAAATCGGGGCAATCACGTGATTGTAATCGTGAACAATCATTCGATATACAAGCGCGTCAACCCCCTGTGTTCGTCCCCCCGGCATCTCAGTGGTCAACACAACCCACAACATTTGGGAACTTATATCACCAACAATGTACCATTACCAGAACCTGTTACTGCTGCCCGGCAGATATTTGAGCATCAACAACAAGCCTTCAACTTGATGGCAAGCACAATTGGAACTACCATAAGCAAGGGATTCGAAATGCCACGAAGAGAGTATATGACCTTTGATGGCAACCCGTTGACCTATCCCAGCTTCATGGAGAATTTCAAAACTAATGTAGAAGACATTGAGTCCAGCCCTAATGCTAGACGTAACTTCATGATACAACTATGCAGTGGAAAGGCGAAGGAAGCTATAAGTGGAACAGTAATGTTACCTGCAGAGGAAGGTTATATTAAAGCCAAGTCTATCTTACATGAGATGTTTGGACAAACACACATAGTCGCAGCATCCCACATCGATAACATCACTGGAGGGGACCAATCAAAGAGAACGAGAACGAAAGATTGATGCAGCTTGCACGAGATATGGAGAATTGCGAGATGAACTTGAACAAACTCGGCTATCAGGCTGATATCAACTCAAGAAGCAACATGAGTGCTGTAGTCATGCGTCTTCCAAGATATCTTCGTTCGGAGTGGGCCAAAGAGGCAAAAAACTCAAGAGATCGGAGTGAAGAATCAGACTTTGCGCAGCTTACGAGATTTGTTGTTAAGAAGGCAAAGCTGGCCAACAGTGAATATGTTAGACTCATAAGTGCAAGATCCAACAACGACAAGGAATTTGGCAAGGGGCCTCGAGTGGGCAGGAATGTGACGACTTACCTATCACACGGTTCAAACATGGAGATAAAGGGACATTCTGGAGATCATTCACGGCATGAGAACCCGACGGGAAGACCAAAATGTTTATTTTGCGACAGAGATGGTCACACAATCGAAAAGTGTTTTAAGTTTCAAGGAAAGCCCTATGAAGAGCGAAAGAGCATCGTAAACACGAAGAGACTGTGCAACCTTTGTCTCTGCAAGGGTCATTTCGCCAATAACTGCAAGACGAGTCGTGGCTGTTTTGTTCCAGGATGCGGAAAGCGCCATCATCCAATGCTCCATCCCGCAGAGACTGCCAAGGACGGAAAGAAAGACCTGCCAGGAAATCAAAACGAAGAGAGAAAACCAGACTCACACGCAGCTCCAACCGGAAATGTTCAGACTGGTCACTGTGGTGCCACCGGAACCATCAAGAATCGAGTGTGCTTACGAGTAATTCCTGTAAAGGTGTTTGCGAAAGATAGAAGTTGTGAGAAGATAACTTATGCAATAAGAGACGAAGGTTCAAATACCACCCTTGTGAAAGAGAGTCTAGTCGAAGAATTGAACTCGAACGGACAGCCAATAGATTTCACGCTCACTACAATGAATAATGTGTCACAAGAATCTGGGAGATCTCACTTCTTATACGTTCAAGGTTTGGGTCAGAAAGACTGTCTCGAAATTCCATACGCTTTGTCGGAAAAGTCTTTGTCAGTCGCAGAGAGACTGTTCCAAATGGACTTTAGTGAGACGATGTATTGTCAAGATTCGGAGATGTCGCTGGAAGACAAAAGGGCTCTGGCCATCATGGAACAATCGCTCATTGTCGTGGACAATCATTACCAACTGGATTTGCCATTGCGTGAAAGACCGAATTTTCCTAACAACAAGAGTCTAGCAGAACGAAGATTAAATTCCCTCAAGACGAGACTGAAGAAAGATTCGAACCTCTACGACAAATACAAGAAAGGGATCGATGATTACGTGAACAAAGGGTATGCATGCAAGATCAATCAAGTCCCCCCCCCCCTGTCGAAGCGAGACAAGAAAACAGCGATGTATTGTATCTTCCACATCACCCGGTCGTGCACCCCAAAAACCCGAAAAACCGAGAATCGTGTTTGACTGCGCCGCCAGTTTCGAAGGTGTATCACTGAACAAGCAACTACTACAGGGTCTCGACATGACGAACAAACTCGTAGGCGTGTTGTTGAGGTTTCGCGAAGATCCCATTGCCTTTTGGCGGATATCGAGGCAATGTTTTGTCAAGTAATGGTTTCATTAGAGCATCGTAATCTTCTGAGGTTCCTTTGGTTTGAGGACGGTGATTATGATAAACCAACGGAAGAATATCAGATGCTGATCCACCTGTTTGGGGCAACATCTTCACCGAGTTGTGCGGGGTTTTGCCTGAGAAAGGTCGCAGAGGAATTTAAAAAGGAGTTCAGTCCGGAAACCATCGAGACAATACGTAAGAATTTTTACGCCGACGATTGCTTAAAGTCCGTTTCCAACAAACAAGCAGCTATTCAGTTGATCCAGGAACTTTGCGAGATGCTGTCGAGACGCTCGTTTCGAATAACGAAGTTCGTTAGCAACAGCAAAGAAGTTCTAACTTCTATTCCAGAAACTGAACGTGCGCAGTCTGTCGTTAGTTTAGATCTCGAGGAACTCTCAGTAGAAAGAGCGTTTGGCATGGAGTGGAACGTACAGAAAGATACATTCGGTTTCCGGGTAATAAGAAGAAAGAGAACGCTCACTCAACGAGGGACTCTCTCGGACGTCAGTTTTCTGTACGATCCTCTCGGGTTCGCCGCACCGTTTGTTTTACCGGCCAAACGTCTTTTACAGCAACTATGCAAGGACAAAGTGGGATGGGATGAAGAGATTCCGCGAGAAGTGCTAGATGCGTGGGAACGATGGCTGAACGACCTGCCTAAGTTGGTGAACATCAGCGTTCCAAGATGTTTCAAGCCAAGTCATTCTGCCGAACTAGGGAGTATCCAGTTGCACCATTTCGCTGACGCTTCATTTGACGGTTATGGCGTCGTTTCCTATCTTTGTTTCACGGACATGGAAAATCGAATCCATTCCAGTTTGGTGATGGGAAAATCCCGAGTTGCTCCCATAAAACCCACGACCATTCCAAGGCTAGAACTAACAGCAGCGACCGTAGCTGTAAAGCAGGATATCCAGATTCGAGAGGAGCTAGATTTGAAGATCGAGTCCGTTCTATTCTGGACAGATTCAACGTGTGTCTTACAGTATATCAATAACGAGGCTAGCCGCTTCAAAACGTTCGTCGCAAACCGGATTGCCATCATTCACGAGAATTCGAATCCGTCGCAGTGGCGATACGTCAACTCGAAAGCTAACCCGGCAGATTTTGCATCCAGAGGCTTACGACCAAGTGACGAGCGCGAGATAAATCTTTGGATAAACGGGGCGGAATTCCTGCATAATGATGAATGTAACTGGCCTGCACGTCCAGAAGGGGTGAATGTTTTGTCGGACGAAAGTCTGGAATGGAAGCGCGAAGTCGAAATTTACGAGACGCAAGTTCGCGAGGGAGATCCGCTAGATTCCTTTATCCAATACTATTCCTCGTGGTACCGCCTGCTAAAAGGGATAGCGTGGCTCATCTGGTTCCTCCATTTCGTACAAGATAATTTTGGCGTGAAAGATTCCCGACAAGTAAATCCATCGTCCGAAATTTCGAACTCGTTGAAGCAGCGTAGAGTCGTTGGGGCCGGAGAACAGCCTTTGACAGTCGAAGAGTTGCAGACGGCAAAGATACGCCTCATCCGTTACGTTCAGCGCGTATCATTTCCCAACGAAGTCGCTTGCCTGAAACTAAAACCGAAAAGCTCCCACGGAACCCGTCCAATCGTAAAGAAATCGAGCAGATTGTCGGCACTATCGCCATTTATGGGAGATATGGCTTGATGAGAGTTGGCGGTCGGTTGAAACGAGCGAAAATAAGTTTCGACGCGAAGCATCCAGTCGTGATTCTCAGCAAGCACCACCTTGTCTATTTATTGATACAGCATTAGAAGGAGGGTCATTCGGGCGTTTGAACAGTCCTTACAGCAATCCAACGAGAGTATTGGATCCTCCAAGGGCGATCTAGAATCAGATGGATTATCGATAAGTGCATTCGCTGTCGTAAAATGTATGCATCACCGTGCAGTCAAATCTATATTTAAGCACGGTAGCTTCATCAGGTTTACAAAAAAGTTATCTATACATTAAAAAGTTTAAAAAAATTTTCACGCCTATGTTACATTAATATTTATACCTGTTTTCCATGAATGCCGTGTCTATCGAATATGATGTTTCAACAATTGTCGCAATTCAGTAAGAGATTCCGCTTGTCTTATATTGCTAGGTAAGCTGTTCCATAACACTGCACCACTATAGCTAAAGCTATTTTTAAGATAATTGGTGCGGGGTAAAGGAGCAGCAAGTTTGTTCACGGCGTCTCGAAGTATATAAGAAGTTACATTATTGCGATTAGTAAATTTAGAACATAGATATTCGGGTACAAGGTTATTTAAAGATTTGAAAACCATCAATGCTTTTTTAAATTGGCGTTGTGAGCAGATCATGGCTCCATTTCCACTGCATGTGAAAATCCGTTTGCATCAACTGGAGTGGACTATTTTGGACCTCTCCTCGACAAAAGAGGTCCAGTATGGTTAAGAGATACGGGCGTGTCTTTACGTGTATGTCAACTCGCGCGGTTCACATCGAAGTAGCGCATTCCCTAGACGCAGAGTCCTTTTTGTGTGCCTTCAGTCGTTTTACAGCGCGCCGAGGTATCCCAACAGATATGTACAGCGACAACGGGACAAACTTTGTCGGAGCCTCCGGTACATTGAAAGACGCATTCGAGAACATCCAGTCGGACGAAGTGCAGAAGAAGATTTACGACCAATTGAGGATGAAGGGTGTATCATGGCACTTTAATTCACCATCGGCGAGCCACCCTGGTGGAGTATGGGAGCGAGTTATCCGTTTCATGCGACGGATTTTAGCTGCTCTGACGACCGAACAAACACTCGATGATGAGACACTGGTAACCTTGCTTGTAGAAGTAGAGAGAATACTCAACGATCGACCGCTTGTACGTGGTGAAGGACAACTTGATGATTTAGACCCATTAACCCCGAGTAAGTTGTTACTCCTGAGATCTAACTCGTGTTTACCGCTCGGTGTATTCGTGGGTGCTGATCGTTTCGGCAGACGATGGAGGCAAGCACAAGTGTTAGCGAATTCGTTCTGGAAGCGTTGGATTAGTGAATATTTACCCACATTACAACTGCGGCAGAAATGGCGGAAACAAGCAACAAATGTTCAAGTAAAGGATCTCGTTTTATTGGTCGATAGTGGATGCCCTCGCGACAGTGGCCAATGGCAATAGTAGAAGAAGTTTTTCCGGATGAACATGGAACGGTTCGTCAAGTTATTATTTGAACCAGAAGTGGAAAATTCAGGAGAGATGTGCGAAAGTTGTGTATGTTGGAAGAGACAAAGATAGATGGTGATCAATAAGTTCTTCAAACTGTCTTACTTAAACTTGTTCGTATTATCTTATCTAGATCCTCTTTGTAGTATCGCATTAGGCGATAGGGGCCGGTGTAGGATCTAGCTAGGCGAAGCCCGAATTTAGGGATTAACCCGCGATAGGGCAGAGACGAACACATGTTTTGCTTTTATATTCGAGTGACGAACTCTCGTTGATTTGTGTGATTTATAAAAGTTGTTTGAACGTTGTAGTGTTGTAGTATAGCCAGAGGACTAACAGTCAGATATTTGTCTTGTGTTGTTTCATTGTTTGTAATCGTATTTGTATAGTTAAATTAATATGTTTTGTAAATTGATTGTTTAGAAACTACACACACACACGGTGACACAGTGAGATTATATATTTTGACTTTGTATCAATAAATATTATGTATCCTTTTGGACATTTTGGATTGTTTATCCCACTTGAATATATCGTGCGTTTCGCTGACGTTTTATTGGGGAAATACTGCAACTTACAATCACTATTATCCAACGTTTTATCGTTAGATCTTTCGTTAATAAGTTGTTGCAGCTTTCCAAGAGAAGCTGAATTTCCGGAAGCCTTGTGCTCATTATTTGTCTCGGCTTCCACTGAAGAAATCTTTCCAGCGTATTTTTCTGGTATTTTTACATCGCCCCCTTCTTCATTATCAACACGAGGATGTTTTGTAAAACGATTTCCAGAGAATTGCCGTTTATTGCGCCTTTTAGACGCAAATTTACCCATCTTATTTTTGAAAATATCTTCGAATATAAAACGACCTTCGATTTTATTTTGCTAATATGGCGTGCTGGAGCCTGGGAATAGTTTAAAATAGAACCCAGTCCTTCATAGCTACCCCACATTTATTTTGGGTTGATTTTGGGCAATAACTTTCAAGCTATTGTCTAAAAACAAAGGGTAAACAAATATGTTTCCATGGTAACGAAGCCACGAACGTCTAATAATCCTAAAAAAAACAGCCGTTATATGTATAATATAAATGTAAAATCAACATAGGATCAAAGTTTCATACTCTAGGACATATATGAGGGGGGAAAATTTAAAAAAATTACTATTTTTTTTTAAATAATTACAATTTTTTTTTAAATTTTGGGGGTCATTCCACCTTATTAACAAAGTGCATAGCGATTGATATAATTTATGTGATTGTCCACCATTCCAAAAATACTTTTAACATAGCCAATAATTAACACCCTACACTCCATACCCCAACCTCCGTCGCAGGGACTTTCCATCCCAAAAACACCCTGGGTACGAGGATGTCCATACCCCTGGGCCTAAATATACTAGAGCCGTGTTTACACTGCGAGCCTAAGCCTGGCCTGGGCCTACCTTTGGACCAGATTTTTGTAGTGTAAATGCACTTCGGCCGGGTCTAAGCCAGAAAATCTGGGCCTATCAGAACAGTTGGCCCAGATTTCCTGGCCTTACACTAGAAAAATCTGGTCCAAAGCCAGACCGAGGCCAGGTTTAGGCTAGTAGTGTAAACACGGCTTAGGGCATAGTGGGATAGGGTTGGGCAATGGGTGCTCGCCATATCACCATGTTGAAAAGAGCCAACAAAGGGGATACCTATACACATTTTAGTAGAAGTCAGATAATTTAAATTGGGCTCATCAATTCATTTTTAGTTCAATAAGAAGCTATTTTACTGTTTTGTGCACAAGATACAAATGTAACATAGCAAGATGTTATATATAGCAATATAGCATCCTTTGCAATGGAGTTTAGATATTCCTTCTTGTTGTAAACCTTTGCATATCTTGAATTCCCCCCTTTGAAGAGACAGCAAAAGTTCAGCAATTTCAGCAGGGTTCATCCGTCATCTATGGCTGGAATAAATTTTAATTATAAACATGTAACAAAAATGTGAACATGAATCTATGAGCACAAATTTGGGAATTGAATATCGCTGTCCCAAAGTTCAATTCCCATTTCATCATCGGTACATGCTGTGATACTCCAAGGATCAAGCGAAACTCCCTTAACATTTTAACAAAACTCTTCAAGCGTTTCTTTTTTCTCCACGGGTGCCAGCTTCTTGTTGTCTTTCAAGGACCCAACGTATGCTTGACTTGGTTTCATGGCTGTTTAACGGCAGATTTTCAGTTGGAACAGCTCCTCTTTCTAACGATTTCCTCTTTCAGTCTACAAAAGGGCAAACATCCAATTACTAGACTAGTATTCACAGTTATTTAAGTTATATTCAATATATCAAAACCGCAAATATTTCAACCATATTGATTATACACAATAAGACAAAGGCCGAGCAATTATAATATTTCGCGCAAAGATAAAAAGTCTGTACTTACAATCAGATGTCAATTCGTCTTTGAAATGACGCTCACATAGGAAAATCTTATTTTCCTCGATTTTCTGCATCTGTTCGCTTGTTCTTAGTATCCATATAGTCATTCTTTACGCGCAATCTCCTTCGAAGCTTTCGTCTCTTGCCAATTATCCACTCTTGGTCAAGGTAACTTAAATAACGAAAGACCACTCTTTCGACTTGTCGAACAGCCATACTTTGCCCAGTTGGCACCCGGCGTAGCGTAGCTACTGAGATTTTTCCAAAATTCGCCAGAAAAAGCAGTTAATTCGAAGGTGGTCGGCGTAGAAGTGCGTCGCCGCTCATATTGTAAAGCATTCATTGTTTATAGCTGATGCACTAAAAGCGTCACGTGACCTCAATAGTCGAGAATAATAACATATTTTGGGGGGGTGTCCAGCTAGCCAAACCATCCTATTTTATTAGCTGTGATCAGAGCGATCACGCGATTAAGGTAAAAATTGGCCAGAAAATTGTTAAATTAAAATAGCTGTCCAGTTATCAAATTTCGCGCAGTGTATTTATTGAAAGTTTAACAGTCCAGTTCTATGATATCATCCATGCAGTAGCAACGACTTCGAACATGAACGCGCAGAAAAGCGGTCTTACGCATGAGTTTCGCACGCTCTGAGTCAGATTCCAGCCATCTGATTCGCTATCTCGACTTTTGCGCGATCTGTGGGGAGTCCTGATCGCTAAAGCGATCAGGGGCTCGAATACAGGCTATCCGATTGGCTAATTCAAAAAATCCTGAATTCCCGTCGGCTGGATTTTTTTATCGATCATACCGTTCAGGCTAATAATATGCACGGAAAGGTCTATGTATTTATGTAAATTGACTGAATTATTATGTAAATTCTGTCTCTTATTATTATACGCGTACGGCGTACCCGCCGATTTTATAGCACGTGCGTTTTATGGCAATCAGAAAATTTATCAGAAGTTCTAAACACGAAACCGCAAAGGCTGCTTTAGAGAAAGACGATCGACAACATCTTAATTAACAATATCTTAAAGATATGTAACCGAAGCGTTCCATTGAAGACTTATTGAGCGCTGTGAACATAACAAGCTTCTTCCTCGCACCGTGAAATTTTAGTGCGGAATCTTACATCCCGAAGTACGTTCGAGAGAAAACAAAAAAGTTTTGTACGGCCTGAAGGTAAATATATTCTAGTTTAACTAGATATAGCATTATAGCTGTTGTAGGCTGTAGTGGATTGCGCGTCTGTACGTAATAAGAGACGAAATTTACATAATATTTCAGTCAATTTACATAATACTGCGGCTTAATACTGCGGCTTAATACAAGCAGTTTCAGTATGAATATTAAAACTCGGAAAGCAGTGAATTAAACGCGGAAATTCTCTTCCTGCGAATTAACAATCAATCAAATGTTTTAAAAAATCGCATCGCTATATAATTTTGAAAATCTTTTGACCATTCATGTAAATTAAGGACAAAATATGGAGTTATGTGTTTCCTAGGCATGCTGTCGAGCCCTGACATTGGGCGACGTAATTTTCACGTAACATTTTTTCGTAAAACAGGATACAAATCAATTCGCTTTGCGACTCCCCCCCCGCGGTAAAAGAATCCCCTCCCTCGATGTTCAGCAACGAAATTTTTGACTAACGCACGAAAAATCCCTGCAACATAACACTTACCTGAAACAGTGCTTCCAGGTCTTAGCTTTACAATTTTGGGGTTTGATTGTTGCCTGTTACAGCATATTCCTAGAGCTTCACAATGATAAGTGAATGGAAAGTCCTTCGATAATAGATAATTTTCCAACCTTGATAGCCAGTAATTAGATGAATTATTAATTGTTACTTTGCTTTCTAATTCTTGTTCAATTCCATCAGATCTTTTTCTTATCCACTTAATTGACTGAATGTCACCAGTAGCTTTGCATGTCAATGTGATTGGGCCTGGATGTGAATAGTAGCTTGGTCCGGTTAAAGATTTAGAAAATTCAATTTTACCGATTGAATCTGTATCGCAATCTGGAATGAAATTTAAATAAATATCCTCAAAATTAAAAAATATATATTATCGAGAATCTGCCATATTTCAAGTCAAGACCTACTATACAGCTAAAGGAAGTAATGTTACCTGTAAAAATCTGAATTTAATACTCCAGATCTAGAATTGAAGTGCAAGCAGAAATTTGATGTGCATATATTGATCAAGAGAGCATAAGTGGCGGACGAAATTTGTACTTTACTACTAAATATTAGGAATAAATTAGGGGTCATCCTAACAAATATTTAGAACTGCTCATTTCGACAAGAACAGACTGTGAGGTAAGAAAAACAACCTAGCCGTATGATAGCATCGACAGGCGTGGTATGACGTATTCATGGATGCCTAAATACATTCTAAAAACAGGTGTGTTCAATTACACGCCAAGGTGTGTTTAATTACACACAAATGTGTGTACATTTAACACACATTCCTATACAATTTTAAAAAACACGCTTTTGTGTGTTAGAAACTTAACCGCGCCACGATGTGTTAGGAAATGCACTATGGTGTGCTCGACAACCTACCTCATGCTAATTTGCGAAAACACATCTTGGTATGTTAGATATCACAACCTACACCGCAATTTTGGAAAACACGGGTGCATGGTGTGTACTGAAAAATGCTCTTTATTAACATATAATAAATCCAATCATCAATCATGATAATTTATGCTATAATATATTAATCGAATATATAAATGTGAATGGCGATATTGACTTATCACAAATCTCCTTGCTCAAGTTTTACGTGGTTTAATAACCGTTTGATATTAATATAGCACTGTTTTTAGCACACTATTAATATCTGAAATATGTAACTGGCCTTTGAAGGTATTTGATCGAAAGAAACGAGAATGCTCACGATGAGCGCGGTTTGACAGGCTGGTGCCTTGCAGTGGCGTAGCAAACTCGATAATTGGGGGGGGAGGATATTCATATATTCGTGTTCTGCCTTATTAATTTCTTTTGAAATCAATTGTTTTTAAGGTCAGTGAACACGAATATACGAATATTGCCCCCTCCCCCCGATTATCGAGTTTGCTACGCCACTGGTGCCCTGTTTTCGAACTACGCGCGCAAAGCTTCTCAGGAAATTTGTCTGCTAGAAAAATTGCTCAGCTGATATAGAATTAGGAAGAGCTTGCTGCTGAGTTGGATGAGAAATACATAAGAGCTCTACAAAAGGGCTGTTCACATCAAAGTACGTTATCTCTATCCAAGAGCTGGCGTTGCTCTGCGCCGCCCTGAAAATCCGGGTCGAAAACCACCTGCATTCCTACTGATACATTTTTGTTTTAAAATTAAAGGAAAATTCAATTCCTCTGCGCTTTAAGTGCCAGTCGACATTTTTACTACGTTGCGTGGAGTTCCTTTTCTCGTACAAAGTAAAAGTAAAAACGTCACGTTTTGTGGTTGTAATATGTAGTTTTAGAAGAGTTTTCCGTAAGACCAACATATGTTTGAGGTGTTGTGTTGTCGTTGGTAGAAACTATAGCTTGATACACAATGGACTCTACCTAACATTTTTTTAACATTGGGCGCTCTTCTTTTTTTCTAAAGTTGCATGTACATTCTTCGCTCGTTGTGGAGGTTTAGGACAGTTTGGTCCTGTTGTGTCCGTCACTAAATTGTTTGTTTGATAGTGGGCGTGCAACTGCAGTAGCTTATTTTAAAGTTGTTGCGGTTGAATATTTTGTGTAAGGGGTGGCCGGCCCCAAGGCATATTTTAAGGAATTCACAGTGGTGGGCCAAAATTTATGGTAGGGTCCCCGTGTCTCGCCCCCTGCCGGCTGTCGGTCCAGCTCTGAGTAAAGTGAGTATTGAATATTTGTGTAGTAATCGTGTTAAAACGCTTCTTGAACTTATTGAGTATTACAGTGTCACATTCAACACATATTTATTATTTCTAGTTTCTACACTACAGCGGGGTACTCCGTTAACTTCGGTACTGGCGTACTGGGGCATCATGCCAGCAAGGGCATGAGTGAAAAACCCCAGTTCTGAGTTCGCCGCACTAACAGATGCAATTGATCTGACAAAAAATACAAAAAAATACTGAAATGATTGTAAATTAATGAAATGCAGTGTTGAAAGTGTTCCAGTTCCACTCTGGCACTCTCCCCTAAAGTGACTAAACAGAAGCAAATTACAAACATCAACTTGAATCCCTATATAATTTTCTCATATACTCTCTATCCTTAAAAAGTTCTGTGTCAGTTTGGGAATTTCTTGTGCTTTTTCGTTTTAAAAATTCTGCTACTGCCTCCCTTGTATCAAACAGGACAGTTCCTTTCCCATTCAGTGAAATTTGTAAAACACTGTTTATTGTTGTCTGTTTTAGACAAGCTCTGTCTTCGTTTTTACTCTGTTGTAGTGAGAAACAACACGCTCAGTAGCCATACTATGCGGTGTAACAGCGAGAAATGATGCAATGAGTGTTTTTAGAAGACCTTGGCTGACTTGAATCGTTTTCCTCAATCTCACTGTCAAAACTGTACCTTGATCACTAAATTAGTAGATTCAATATTCTGGATATTCTCAATCTGTCCGAAAGACTTGCATTTCATCGTCCTCAGCAGCTGTATTTTTAGATCCATCATCTTTTGTTTCCAACACAGCGGGAGCTGAGCATGTCGATGCACTTTCACCTCTGACGAATGACTCATTTGTATTGCGGTGTAAAAAGTCGGATAAAGTGGTTTGCCCATGGTTCATAATACTGTAGATATGTTCAATTCTCGCAGTCGACGTCTCTTTTGTTTTTCTTTTCTGATAACCGCTCAATTCCTTTCGCTTGTTGCTTGTCGCCATATTTTTATAATGAACAAATTTATAAAAATTATCATTTTATATTTAAATAAAAATCGTGAAATATTGGTGACATGTGCCCCCAATACGTAATGTCAGCGGAAAAATATGCGTGTACTTTGTGTTCTGCACATGAATAATTTGAAACAAAATCATTACTGCAATATAAGTGCCATCAAGAAATTGAAAGTTTATAGACTAACGTTCTAATAGCTTTTTTAGGTAAATAATTTTATATTCTTGATGCTAAAATGTAAAGACTGAAGCTGCGGGGCCCACACAGTGGTGGGCCAATACCCTGTGAGTGGTGGGCCACTTGAGGGGCCTGGTTGGCCAAATGGCCTACCATGCAGTCTATTACTTAAAATATTCCTTGGCCGGCCCCGGTAGGAATTCATCATCAATGATATTCAAAAATGTTTGTCCCATGTTCGCTGATACATTTTTAGTAAATGGTGGATTGAACCATATAATATTTTGTCTCCGATTTCGGGTTTGAGTGGTTGTATGATTTTGTGGCTGCTTGTACTTTAATTGGTGATTATAAGTTATAACCACTATTCTGAGGTGCTTGATGGTATTGTTGCGAGGCTCGTTGAAATGATTCCTCATCGGATGATATTTCAGTTAGGCATTTGTTGATAGACAGTGGGGTATTGCGCAGGATATTAGGTGGGTGGTTAGATTTCTTGTGCACGTAAAGGGTATATTATTAGGTTTGGCATATGCCTGATATTTCCCGGTTGATAAATGAAGAGTAACGTTCAATTGTGATTTTGAGCCCGTATTTGTTGAAAATGGAACACAAATCTTTTTTGACATTCCTATCACACGCGCTGTCGCTTTTAATGACTCCTAACCAGTCAGCTCTATATATTTTCCGAAGTTGTTTCCATGCTTTGTTGTGTTAAGATGTAGCTAGTAAATATGAACCCACTAGTTCACACGATTCTGCACCGTCAAATCTGCCCATTGTAAGATCAAGGAGACACGCTATATATAGATGATGTTCGTTTAGCCCAATAGTTTCCCGAACTGGAATTGGGCGTAACGCTGGATTCTCCTGCCTGACGTTTAACGAACACACAATCAACGTTACCAACCTGACCTCGACGTTGATGGGATTGCTTTGTCAAATTAATAGAGTTAAACATCTTTTTGACAAACCGATTGTAATTATGATTATCAACTCTCTAATATTTAGTAAACTATACTATTGTTCCTATGTATGGACGGGTAGTTATACACAGAATATCGACAAATTACAGTTAGTTCGAAACTTTGCTGCAAGGATTATTCTTGGAATTAAGAAATTTGATCACATAACACCTGACCTTAAAGAATTGGAATGGCTATCTGTTCAGAATATGTTAGAATATAAGGATGCTCAAATTATTTAAAAAATAATTAATGGGAGTGCATCACCAAATTTGTGCAATCTCTTTAGAATGACCGTTATGACCATACTATGACGTATTTTATAAAATATACATGCATGCTAATAACAAATATTCATTTCATGATAAGCCTTTGTGTCTTTTTATTCAAACTTCTTGTATTGTCTTGAACTCCTTTAGCAACTCGAACGCCACATTTACCTTACTTACCCGCCATAAGTTCCAATTGTTATCTCTCAAAATTTGAGAAACACGTGACCAGCCTGGACCAGGGTCTTTCCTCCAGCGAGGAGCATAGTGGAAAGAACCTGCAGAGTACGAGCATGCCTCACAACACTAATTACTCTTTATGGAATCTCAATGCATATATTGGGATATTTCGTTCTCTTTCCAACATGACTGAATTTTTAAAAATACTACTCTAATGGTTACCTGATTGTATTTGACAAGCCAGAGATTCCTGACGCGACGAGGATAGAACAACAACCAGAAAAAGAAACGGAAATAGTCGATTATTCATGACGTCTGAAAGAATAGAAGGCAAACAAATTCAACACAAATAAGGCACACGGTCATGATCCTAAAAAAATCATATTGGCAGCACGGAAAGGAATCAAAGGTAACTGCCCGTCTGATAGTAGCCAAGGCTATAGAGCACCATGCATGCACACATGCCAAATGTTGAACACAATGCAAATTCGATTCACCAGCAGCATTGATCAGGCAGTGGGCCGTCCAAAACTAATGAATACATAGAGCGAATTTATAGAGAATTCAATTTGGCACAAAATTAAAAGTATTAAAAATATTGAATGTCGTAAACTCGTTTGCGGATGCTAGACACGCTTAAAGATCAATTTGCCCATGAGCTGGAAAATAACGATTTATATTGCCTTCTTAAATTTATTAGCTATGTTTATATTACGAAAATATTGAAAGGAAATGAACTACAATACATCCGCGACAACAAGTAGCAAACTATTCAAAGCTAAATTTTTAAGATTGCTTAATATTATTGCTTATCGTTATTATTTTTCTCATCTTAACTTTTGGACAATGGAAACGCACAACATTCTAGCATTTGTTTTGCTATTAGAAATGTATAGTCACATTACACCAATACACAGCGTCATACAATGTTATACTACAGGTAAATGGTTATCAGAATCAGACATGGGATATTGGCTTTCGAAAATCTGTACGTAGTTCTCCTGCATGCTGTTTATTGATATGCGCGAATTGAAACATTGTTGTTCCTAAATAATTCTAGCTCAGACCTGCCAAAGAGGTGCATTATGGATTTGAAATAGATCGATTAGGAATAATTAGTACGTAATTGATTTTAGCATAATTACGTAATGGAGATAATCGTATTACGAGACCGGTTTCTTTGGGGGAAGCCGGACTTGTCGGCGAGAAAAATAATTCTGTCCTAATTTTCCCGCCCGCAAAACCTCTCCCAAAATCTTAGGCAGGCATGCCGATGAATATTCCAATCCTTTACACAGCTGCATAAAGCATGAATGCGAACGTCAAGAAATAGAGCACTTGGGTATTGTTAAACATTCTTTGCTATTCAATAATCAAAGAAGCCTATAAATCGAAGGTTGTAAAAAAGCATGAAGTTCTGGAAGCGACGTTAATAACATTATATTACCATAAATTATACACCGCGAATCGAATTTATGTAACATGGCATTATAGTGAATAAATGCATGGATCAACAGTATCAAATGCTTATACTGCAGGTTGTATCAAAATAAACGCAATTCATCTTTTGTGCTTAATAACTTTCGAAATACTATTTCTAGTTAAACGCTTTTAGGCTTACTTCAAAGCCTGTTCTTTCCTCTTTCAAACAAACTATTATCCTTGTCTCCAATGCTAGTAATAATTGCACAGGAAAAGATTTAGTAAAACCTATAATTTTTAGTTGCTGTTTAATTATGCAAGTTTACTATGTTATTGTTTAGTCGGTTTAAATGTTAGAATTTTCTTCTTTAAACTTTAATGTTGTCGTCACTACATCTGGAAAACCACGTAAGAACAAATTAAAATTATTTTAAAAGAGACCAGGTTGTTTGAAAATCCTAAACGAATGCTAAAAATCGTCAAAACATTCTGGTGTCTGAGCCAGAGTGTCATCGAATTGCGATGTAATGTAAACAGAAATTATAGCAAGTTGATGTCAGTCAGCTTAGATGGTCCAAGCCAAAATTATATCGCATTTGAAGTTTCAAACTGAGTTAAAAATAATGGAAGAAAAGCCATAATTATACTCATTGTTACAATCCAATTAATAAAATGCAACATTTGTTTGTTTTAATGAAAAACAGTTATTTTCATGAGAACGATTTGTTATTCCATCTCAATTTTTTTAATCTCCAATCGCAATAACGTAAAGTATTATTACCCGCGAACCAATGAGTCAAATTTAAGAAACAACCCACTGTTAGAAAGCTGAATGGCTACGCATTAATATGAATGTAAACTTTAACGTTTTCGTCTATTATTTGTTTAGCAATTTACATTTCAGTCGAGGATTGCGCTTTTTTTTTACACCCTGTATATATAGCTATTTCAATTATATAAGGTTCTGCATGACTAAAACGGAAAAGTCGAATACCAGCGCGAAAGGCTGCTGGGAATCGCAAAAAAATAATGAATTTATTAACGATTTGCAGCTTTCTTTCGCGATCGTATTCCGCTTTGCTCGGGGACAACCTTAATTGAAATAGCTGTATACTTATTCTGTGGCAAATGGGTAATTTCATAAAAGCAACCAAGATATGTATCAACATATATAATTTTTACTTGAATTATTTTTAATATGTTTGCCTCTCTCATAACCAAACCAAAACATTTAAATTTAAATTAAGAATTTTCGCGTACAGTATTGGTGTGTCAAATGATTAGGACGACTAGAGATGAACCATCTCGACCAATCTCATCAATTGTACAGTAATCGAATCACCAGTAGTTTATTGTATTTTGAGGAAACTGTATTGAAATGCAAGAGAAGATTTTGTAAAACCCATAGCTATTTTCCAAAGTGATATTAATTACTCTGTCTACATGCAAATGCCCCTCATTGGCTTAAAAAATAGCGTAAAAACTAACCACAAATCGTGGTAAAAGACAGTGGAAAATTTGATGGAATAGTATGCCTAATAATGTCAATATCTCTGGCTGTCAAGTCTGTGTAGAATATTGAATAAGTAAAAGATGCCTTTGAATATATCTGGTGTCACCCAATGTTGCAAATTACTCGCGCGTCTTTGCGGTGTAATAGACATAATTTCAATTGCTCTCATTTTGGATTATTTGGAATCACAGATTGTTTGTTTGAAATGATTAGCTCAATTATGGAACAATTTAATTACCTGCATTAATTGATACGGGCATCTTCTTGAATGGAGAAATTCAAATCTTCGCTTATTAATCGATAATTTGACATTTCGCATGCTAATCCTTTTGTTCTTTGTAGGGGAGCAGTGAGTGTCAATTTTTCATACACGTTTAAGACAATAAATAATAATATACTCTCAATCACCACATTTTATAAAAAGTTGTGCTAAATCACCGACTTGTACCAGATGTAGTGAACCTATTGAAAATTTTAAGCATATTTTTTTATATGCCCTAATGCATGCTGCTCTTCGTATACAGTAGCACTTTATTTGGCTCTGCTGCATGCATAGCTTTTGGAAATAAATGGCGTTAAGTATCCATGAATAATGAAAAATTAATTCTTTTAAGTTTTGTTACTGATAGCAATTGTTTATAATAGTAAGAAGCTGTTTCATATTGCATGTCCAGTAATTTATCTCCCAATGCAATTGCGTTTCATTGATATAATTTTACTTGGTTGTGTCTTATTTTTTGTTAGATAATTTTATAAACAAATTAAATGAGCCATCTTTGATGAGAATTTTGCTATTAGGCCAATTTTGGGTTTAAAATGTTATTGTTTAAATATAAAAAATTCGGTTGGTTCACACGGCAGCTGCGCTTGCGCGCAATGCCTCCCCTCAACTCATTAATATCACTATCGGGCACGTTGTCGTCCTTGAGTTGATCCGTTGTACGTTGTCTCTCGTTATTAGGCAAAGCTCGTATACTTATTACAGCTGTACATTTGTAAACGGCCAATGTATGAATAATGCCGATGATTTCAAACTTGTGTTGTTACAATCTTATTTTTCTTCGCATATATCATCACGAGTGCTTGAGAATAGTGGTATTTGAAAAATATCCGAGCGTCCTATATCACAAATGTTATAAGAAAATGTTTTAAATTTGTTTGTTGCTGTATATCACACTGCTTTTCCAGTATCAAGACCGCTCGAATATATTTTATGCTTACAATTACAACCTTAAATGTGCCAATGCGAGAATTTTTTTATGACTGAATTGCAAAATTCATTTAAAATCATAAGTAACTGTGTTTTTTTCAAATGTGTTATCTTTCCGGTATATCAAAATATTGGACTTTCTTTGCCATACAAATATGACTAATATGACGTCAAACGCCATAATATATTTTACGGATGACTGTTTTTTAGTTTGCTAAAATTGTCATTAATTCAAATTTTCAGACGAAGTGATAGCTTTGATACTTCTTAAAGTAGATAACTTTCACATGTTTGGCAAGGAAACGTTTTCTTTCTAAAAACTCTTTATGCAGTGTGACGTCATTTAAGTCACTTTTCATATGAAACAAAGTCAAAAATCTTAACATACCGGAAAGATAACAAAGTTTTAGAAAATAAGTTACATTATGATTTCGAATGAACTTTCCAATTCAATCATAAAATAATTCTCGCATAGGCACTTTAAATCTATTTCCAAAAGTCACTAATTAAATAAAACCATTTAGTCAATAAAAAAATGATGGTTTGGAAGTGCGAAAGTCTTCGAAGGCACAAAGTAGAAGGCCTTTGTATGATGTTTAGCACTACCTCACCGTGCACATTGTTCAAATCCTTTGTCTCAACTACATTAAATTTATTCATCCGTGGTTCCATGCACGTTTCATTTCAGCTACCATATTGGATGGTTACTTAATTAATACTGAATATACAATGAGCTCAATCATCGTGACCGTGAACAAATTATGAAGAAAATTTTTTTGTATCGGTTAGGTAACATGCGCTCAAAACTAATGCGTATAATATACAACTTGTGGTTATGATTAAATTCAATATTTTTATTTTGCGATACGTTTCTCAATCGCCAAACAAACTTAAAAAGTATGTTTAGTGCTTTATCTTTAAAATAATGCTAAAATGGAGAGGTTTTTAGATGATACGCCAAAGAGAAATGATGTCTGAAGTCCACTAAGTTTTGCTTATATGGCTGTAAATATGGAGTCAATTTTAGAGCATCATTGATAACTGTATTTTAATTGCCAATTTGTAACTATTATTTTATGTTACTCAACCAGCAGATGCATTTAAAAAGGTAGCTAACTCTATAAACTATAGAATACAGCTAAAACAAAATAACTTTGAGAGGGACGACAAAAATATTTTAGGTTTTGAACACTTTTTATTGCAAATAGCCTACGTGACATTGAAAAAAATGCCTCTTAATATAAACTCATATAAAAACATATACACTGACTTGACGACTAACTGTAGTCTATATCTATGTACATTATGTAGCTTTATAAACGCCTCCGAGCTGTTGCTTTCTCACAGTCGAATACATAACGCGGACAATTTGTAAGCATATATCAGCCGTACTGTACCTTGTTGAACTTTATTCATTGCCTACTGAACTGTGTCAACGAAACTGAATTCAAAATAAGTTTAAAAAAAAGGACAAAAAACTTTTCTTCAAACTTTTTCTTGAAACTTGTGAATTCTTTTTAACAATTACTTATTACAAATCAACATTATTGCTTTTAATATATCGCTGGAAAGATATTGAGAAATTACATATACGTAAGTAGGGCACTTATTGTGATTGGCATTAATGAACATGCGCGTGCAAAAGATCATGAACTGTTTGTCATAATTAAATAATTATAAAATCGAGCAATCGTTTCTTTCAATACATTGTAGAAACTACGCGTGTCTTCTTATTAATCTGTGGATTACAGGTAAGTATGGATATGACGCCCAACCTATACGGAAATGGACATGGATTCAACTAGTTGAAAAATACAAGTATCAAATATCTAAATATCAGTTTAAGAATCCAGTTAAAGCGTTATTTGAAAATGTCTTAAACTCGTTTGTGGCTGTGTATGACGTCTTCCAAAACGATTTCCAACAGGTCATTTGAATATTTATAAAATAAACAAATTCCAAATAGATGCATGGATGCTGATTAGAGATTAAATTGATGTGATAATATTTTGATTAAAAAAATAACATGTTTATTGTGTTGAACACTGGCTAACCCGATATTTTGACATCCGACAAAACCAATGAATCGACAACTAATCATAAGGGAGAGCTTGTTTACAACTCTTAACATCTTTGGTACTATATATTATTACTTCGTTGATAAAACAAACCAGTACAATTGGAATAGTGTAATGAAGTAACTGTCCAACTAACGGTAGTCTATTGCTATATATATATATATATATATATAGATTATATAGCTATACAAACGACCAAGAACTGGTACTTTCTCACAGTCGAATACAAAAAGCGGCCAATAGCTATGTAAACATACATGAATATATCAACCGTACTGTACCTTGTTCAACTTTATTAATTGACGCCTGAACTGTGTCACCTGAAGTTAAAATAACGTTAATATAACTCTCTATAATAACTTCCTTTATCTTGAAGCTTTAAAATTAACCATTATATGCGTTGCAAACCCACAGTATATTGCCACGTTTTATCGCTGGAACAATTTTGACAATTTACATATACGTAAGTAGGGTACTTATTATGATTGGCATTAATGAACATGCGTGCAATGGAGAATGAACTGTTTGTCA